CATCTCCTCTATCATCACCAATATCTCCTCCATCACCAACATCTCCTCCATCACCAACATCTCCTCCAACTATGCCAGTTCAAGGACCTCCTGGACAGTATGTATTTATTAAAGTAATAAATATATTATTTTTATTCTTTCATTCATAAAGCAAACTATTAAAAATTCAAATAGATGCAGATTATATTATATTAATATAGATTCTATTATTTTCAGAACAAATATTGGTATGCCAGCACTTTCACCAACAATGACTTCAGGTACGATAGTAAAATGGCTTAAAAAAGAAGGAGAAAAAATAGAACCTGGCGATGCAGTGGCTGAAATTCAAACAGACAAAGCTGTCATGACTTTTGAAATCGAGGATGAAAGCATATTTGCAAAAATACTTGTATATAATTGTTATTAAACATTAAATTATATTCTATTGAAAAATTATAATATCTACTTAAAAATTTATCATGAAACAGGTTCCTGAAGGAAGTCAAGCAGAAGTAGGAGAATTAATTGCCATTACAGTAGAAAAAGGAATGGATTGGAAAAATATTGTAATTCCAAAAATAACAAAACCTACTACTGCTCCTGGAGTTGCTCCTGAAGTTGCTCCTGTAGCTGTTCCAACTGCTCCTCCTGTAGGTGTTCCAGCTCCTTCTGTTGCTACTCCACCTGCACCAAGTGGACAGTATGCATATAAAAAAATTGTTATTAATTTTGAATTATGATACACATATATTTTCTATTATTATGTATAATTTTTTCTTTCTCTTTTTTTCTTCAGAGTATATGGTCTTGCAGTAAGACGATTATTGGAAGAATATGGATTGAAAGCAGAAGAAATTAAAGGTACTGGTCGGCCTAATCGATTACTAAAAAGTGATGTTTTAAGTTATATTCAAACAAAGAATATAAAAAAAGTTGCACCAAAAACAGGTATGTAAAAACAAATAATAAAAATATGAAAATAATATATATATAATATAATATATATATATTATATATATTGAAATTTATATTTCTATTTAAATAGCACCTCCGCCTAAAGATCAAAAGCCTGATATTCCTGTAAAGAAACATGTACCCAGTGGTGTTCCTTCCACTTATCAAGATATTCCAGTTTCTAATATACGCAGTATCATTGCTAAAAGACTTGGAGAATCAAAAGTAATTACAAACTATTTTTATTTATTAATATATGCAACAATATTACTTTTTCTATATAATAGAAGATGAACTTTTAATAAATTCTTAGAGAACTATCCCGCATTCTTATGCGACTATCGATATTAAAATTGATAAAATAAATGAAATTCGTAAGGAACTCAAAGCTGATGGTATTAACATTTCAATAAACGATTTCATTACAAAAGCAACTGCACATGCACTAGTTGAATGTCCATTTATAAATACATTATATAAAAATAATCAAGTTAGTATATAATTTTGATATAATTATTTAATATAATTATTATTATTTACTAAATGTAATAAATTTCATAAATATTATGTTTTTAATAGATAATTCAAATGTCAAGAGTTGATATTTCTATCGCAGTTGCTATTGAATCAGGACTTATTACGCCAATTGTTTTTGATGCTACAGCTAAAAGTGTACTGGATATTTCGAAAAATATAAAAGAATTAGCTGAAAAAGCTAAAACTGGTCGATTAAAACCGGAAGAATTTCAAGGAGGATCATTCACGTAAATAAATGAATTTATGAACGAAATATAGAGATATTATATTATATAAATTAAAAAATATAAATTATATTTTATACGTTTCTAATATTTTTTTTTATGTATGCAATTTTTTTTTAGAATATCCAATTTGGGAATGTTTGGTATTAAGCAATTCAGGGCCATTATAAATCTTCCTCAAACAGCAATATTAGCAGTTGGAAGTGGTCAAGAAGAACTAAGTAAGAAGCATTTAAAAAGAATATTATAAAGATAATATTATAATATTACAGAATATTAATGTATTGTATATATAATTTTGTAGATGCTACATTACAAAAAGTAACAAAAATGTCAACGTCCTTATCGTATGATAGACGAGCAATTGATGAAGATCAAGCAGCCGACTTTTTGGCTGTTTTAAAAGCTATGTTGGAAGACCCATCTTTTCTTATTGCAGGAAGATTACGAGCACTAAGGTACGCACAGGACTGACCTCTAATTAAACATTAATTCTGAGAAACTTACTGACACATAATTTAGGTTTCAATTTAAATTATAGTTTTCTTTATTATACTAATTTTCTAAAAATAGATCTGAAGAATTCATAATTTCGTTTAAAAATAAATTATAAGTAATAAGATTAAATTTTAAACCATTTATAAATTCATAGCTTTTATTATGCTTTAAAAGTTATACATATAAAATTTAATGTATGAAATTATTTAAAAAATAATTTTAAATATTTTAAAGTTTTAAATCATAATTAAAAAAAAAATTTTATTTATCTGCCTAGATACTGCCAAGTTTTAGATTAATAATTAAAAATATTTTAGTGGAAATGTAAAAAACATTAAGATTAAAGTAATAAATTAATTTTATCAATTTTATTATATTATTAATAAAATCATTTTTACAAACAATTACACACACCAAATATAAATATTTATATAAATTTCTTTTTTTTTTACTTAATGTATTTACGCTTCCATCAAATTTTTTATTTGATAAAAATTTTTATATATATATATATATTTATATATATATATATATATACACTAAAAACTTTTGAACAGCATATCTATAAAATATACAAAAATAATAAATTAATATATATATAAAGTGATAAATTATATTTTTTAATAAGATATAAGTTGATCTTTCTATATCAAAATTAATAAATAATATAAATTTATTTCAATTAATTATAAATATAATATCTCATATATATAATTTATTTCCTTATATATAAATGGATAACTTATATCTGATTTACTATTTATATACATAATTTAATAAAATAATCACACTGATGTAACTTCTTTCATGTAACAATAATAGATAATAAAAACTATATTATTTTATATATATTATAAAATTTTGTATAAAATAATGTAAATACATATAAATAAATATTCAAAATTAGATAAGATAATATTCAAATATTAGAAACTTGTATGATTGAAAACTTCAGTGTGATTTAAGAATTTTGGGGATTTTAGTAAAATGTACAGTCATTGCTATATCTTGTAAATAAAGTATTTATTGTTAAAACCACATGTGTTTTTTCATATACATTTGAAAATAATATACACATATTTAATATACAAAATTTAGCATTTTTTGTGCAACTGTTCTTATCAATAGATTATTATTACATTTAACTTTTTTTTATATTCTATTATCACTGATAAATGTATTTGTAAGGCAATTGGTAGAGAACCATATGTATTGATTTGATAAGGCACAAATGTTACAGCTGCAGAATTTTTTAACAAATTGTTCTTAATATATAGATACATATGTAATAGTCAAAATCAAATATATTTTACATTTTATCATTAAATGATTAAATAACTGAATTATCAATTTTATACATTGAATTATATTATAATTTTATGTGGATATTCATTATTTTAACTTGAAATTAAATTTAATATTATTCATACAAATTGTATAAGTAATTTAGTAAACAAAAATAAAAATGATATGATGATATTTAATGTAGAAATACAATAAAACAGGATTCAGTTTTTATTATCACAGTCGTGATATTATGTGATCGTGCTCAGATCTTAAACTAAGTTAATTATGGACAATATTTAATTGTAATACAAATTCAAATATTTTTTATAAAAGATATAAATACAATATTATATACATAATTCATAGTACTTATTTAAAAGAATAATATTTATTAAAATTTGGCATATGAATAGCATTAGATTTTAAAAAATTTCTTAAAAAATTGCATATTATAAAATTTGGTAAAGTCTTATAATACTAACTAAGATTGGTAATGCTTTTAAAAAATGCATTTTATAATGTGTGATATATCACATTACTTATAATACTTAGTTATTAATACATGTGCTTATAACATTGAATCATAAGGTACAACTTCTCACTACTAATAAGAAAATATTCCTCCAAAACAAGAAATATAGAATTTTTTATAAAAAAGTAATCTTTCTTATGCAATTAGATTATGATTGAACAGATATTAAATACTTTAATTACAATACTTAATTTAAATATAAATTATTTGATTTAAAAATGTATGGCATAACTTATTTTTCTAAATTATAATTTTGAATAGAAGAAAATATGGAATTCAAAAAATATAATAAAATGTGATGTATATTTACAACATCAATTAACAAAATTGTTAAATTAAAATTATAAATTTAATTTGTACTATGACTAAATTGAAATCATTACTTTAAAAAGTGTTTTGACAATAAATTGCAGTTATACCCCTGATAGATATTATGTGCACATACTTTACATCATATTTATAGCACTTTCAGTTCTTAAACAAACTAAGTACATTATTTTGGTAAAAATGAACTTTAAAATAAATGAACAAATTATACCTTATTATATAGTAAATGCAAATAATTTTAAAGTAAAGTCATATAACTAAAGTAAAGTCTATATAACTAAAAATACTAAATATATTTTTAACATAATGATTCTAACTTGTATTTTCTCTGCATTTATTTTATTCTAAAGATTGATAGAATCTTATATTTTTTTTATAGAAATAAACATATAAAAAAAGATGAATATTGCACATAAAAAATGAATAATGCACATTATTAATGATATTAATTTTTCCAATAATTCAAAGTAATAGAAATTAATCTATTGTTTATATTGTATTATGAAATTATTATATAAATGAATAATTTTTAAAAAATTATAGTAATTTCTTTATTACTACATCATGATTTCTATTAAAAATTTAATAATATTATTATAAATATAATAGATAGTCACATATAAAATAGATTAATTGCTATATTGTATATATTTAAATTATGTGCAATATATATAGAATACTTATTGCATTGTGTAAGTAATCAATGCAATATTATATTCATATAAAAATAGGTTTTAAGTTCTATTTAAAAAAATTATCTAATGGAACACTTTATGAAGAATTCTTTGTGCAGTTCTTATTAATGGTATCAGACTTGTTAATTCTGCACAATTTTCTAAAAATGGATGAGATAATAACTCATCTGCAGTTGCTCTGTCATCAACTTCAACTGCCAAACATTTTTCTAAGAAATTTTGAAATGTTGGACTTAATGTGTCCCATCTAGGTATAGAAGGCTTACCAATAGCAGCAATTAAATATAAAGCTCTTAAAGGTGTTTCTTTCATATAAGGTGGTTCACCTTCTATCATTTCAATGGCCATAATACCTAAAGACCATATATCTACTTTTTTACCATATTGTTTTCTCGTCACTACTTCTGGTGCCATCCAATATGGAGTACCAACCATAGTTTGACGTTTTTCATCACCATCAATATTAGCACAAAAACCAAAGTCTGTAACTTTCACAGCACCATTCATTCCAAGAAGTACATTATCTGATTTGATATCTCTATGAATAATTCCTCTTGTATGTAAAAAACTAATTGCTTTTAAAACTTCTCTACAAACTGCTGCAATTTGTACTTCTTTCATTACAGTTTCAGTAACAACATCTGTAAGTGGTCCTCCTTCTAATAATTCCATAACAACCCAGAGATGCTCATTTAAAAGATATGCATCCAAAAAATTCACCAAATTTGGATGTTGAAATTCCTTAAGAACTTTGATTTCAGTCAATATTAATTCTTTCTTTGGCTGTTTTGATAAATCTATGTCTTTTATAGCAACTTTTTGATTAGTTTGTATATCAGTAGCTATAAATACAGTACCTGAAGCACCAGCCCCAACTTCTTTAGTTTTTTCAAAACGAAGATTTGGATCTCCATTATGACAAATGGCTCGAAGTTCTTCAAAAATTTCTTCATCATTAAGTTTCATTGTAGAAGATTCTATTTTCTTTCGTAAAATAGGGCTCTCTTCTGTTTTATTTTGTTCATTTTCAATTTCAAGTGGATGATCATCTTCAATTTGATATGTACTTAAATCTTCAAGAATTTCAGTAATAGTTTTTTCAACTCTTTCAGGGCACATTCGTGGTGTAGGTTTTGGAATTTTGTTAACTTTTGGTGGAAGTTCTGGTAACTCCTGCACTTGACTATCTGTTGAACTTGCAGTACTCGATTCATCTGAATCTTCAGATTGACATTTTTTTGATAAAATTTTATCAATTTCCTGAGATTCTTCTTCAATCAAATCTTCTGTAACGAAAGGTTTGAATACTTTTTCTTCTGGTTTCCGTTTTATCGAGTAATTATAAAATTTGATTGCTTGCAAAGCTGCAGCAGGATGTTCATCTTGCTCTGATTTTGATATTTGTGTATTAAGCAAACGAATCCAAGATTCAGGAAGACCTTCCAATTGTCCTGTTTCGGCATTTTTACTCACATGAAATTTATGAGAAACATTGGTAGGACGACCAATCTCAGCGACTGTATCAATTGTGCCGGTTTTCTTTCTTGAAAATAACTTTGATATATTAAGACTCATTTTAGCGCGGAATTTCGCGCTTTTACCGCGTTCTCTTTTACGACGTATTGCGATTTTTTTCAAGATAAAATTAGAAGAACAAACGGCCACTTTTAAATCGTGATTCTCATCATAACATGACTCTACTGTCTATTACTATCGACAAGACATCAAGTACGATGAAAGGCGTGTTAGTATGACGTATATCATTCAATAAATGGCGGGATAATTCAAAATAGAAATAATTTAAACAAAAATAATATATAATTAAAGATTTCACTTTAATATAGTTAAGTGAAATTATTAAATATAAAATTATTTATAACAAATTTAATATATATTTTGATATATAATATACAAATTAATATATATCTATATAAATTAAAGTAAATGAATTATTCTCTTTTGAATATCCTAACCTCGTGTATCTGTGAGTATAGAAATACTAGACAATATTTTTAATTAAATAATAAAAAAAAACTTAAATCAGATGAACGAATATATAATTATATATTATAATTATAATATACATAATCATAATTGAAATACATGAAAAATTTAAATATCCTTATTATTAAAATAATAATATGTAAACTTTGAAAATAAAATATATATTGCAATGCCAGTAAGTTGGCAATCAGACGTTCACAAAAATAATATAGTGATTAAGACAAGATGGAATACTTGTATATTTCATGAATATTATAAACAAGTTGAAGAAGACGCTATTGTTAAAGCATATAATGCTATAATTCAAATAAGATTTGAATATATATCATTTAATTAATTAGGTATGTAAATAATTGTATTGAATGTAATGGACAATATTTTGAATATAATACATATAAAAGATTTTTAATTTTCCCTATTGTATATTGTAATTTTAATGAACCAATTATAGTATAATTTTTGTTGATTATCTGCTCTTTCATTATCTTTATATGTGAAAATTTATTATTATCAGTATTTATTATCAGTAAAGAATAAAAAATTTTGATAAAATTCATCATATTATTAACAATAAAAAAATAGAAGTGTTCATATTATAATATAATAAATTTTTATTCATCATGTGTGGTATAATATATAGAATTTATAATACAAATTATAATTTTAGTAACAATTCGATCTCTTACTACGAAGTTAATTATAATAAAAAAAATTCCCTTGATGACTTTGAAGTATACGTAATCAATGTATACAAATCTACCTCATATGATAATGAATCACAAAGTTTTGAATCAGCAGATACTGATTCAAAGTTTAATGCGATTTCTATCTATCTTTGTTTGATTATCTACATCTTCACATACTAATATAATAATAATATAAATTAATTTTAAAACTCTTAGATGACTTAATAATATCAAGTATGGATAATCAGCAATTAATTTTATTTGAGGTTATCATAAATATAATTTTATATCGAACTTTTTCAAACCAACAAGAAAAAATATATTTCATAATTTTCATTACATTGCATTAATTCAATCAAATTAAAAGAAAAGATATTATTCATTATTGAATCATATAGATATAGCTAAAGACAAATTTTTTCGTGAAAAGCAAAATAGAAATTCATTATAAAAAAAATACATTTAAATTTAAAATCTTTGTATTTAGATTTCATTAAAATTTCATTATAATAATTTAATGCTTATTTTTTCGTTTATTTGTTTTTATCGTTGATTAATTTCTATATTATATTAAATTATATAATTTCTATATTATGTTATATGATTCTATATTATATTATATTTGATTCTATGGTTCTATGAAATTACCTATATATTCATATTGTGATAAACTTATTTGAATTGCATATAGTTTTTATTTCTAGTACATGTAATTCTAATTCTAAATATTAATATTCAAATAAAATATGCATAAATAATTTCAATTTTCATCAATACATAAATGACTATAATAATATCACTTGTTACATAGAATGATGATCAACTAGTAAAAGAACTGGTTGATAGAAAAGTTCGTACAATCTTTCTTGACGAACAAAAAATTTGTCAACTTTGTAATGAGATTATATTGACCAATAATAAATATTATCTATGTTATTATTATTATTATTATATGTCAAAATAAAGAAAATTAATTTAATTAGTTTATAATATATTAATTTATAATTTTTAATTATATAAGTAGTTAATTACAGATTATATATAATTATAACAATTTTTTTTTTTTACAATTTTTATTATTATTTTATTAGTAAAATTTTTTATTATTATAATTAGTAAAATAACATTTATATAAAATTATAGTATTTCTTATGTACTTCGTGTACTTATATATAGAAAAGATATACATATGTATATACTTATAAAATTTTAATTGTATAGTTAATTAATCAGAATCTATAGTGATATTTAATATTTATATATCTTTGCAAATATTACCATTCTTTTAATTTTGTTACATAAACTTAGTCCGTTAATAAAATTCAATTTAATTAACAATAATTTTCGAAAATATTAAAATGTGATTATAATAATGCATATATGATTAAATAAAATAAAAAAATAATGGAAAATCATTCAACCACTACTTTCATTATATTATAAATGTAAAAAAGTCTTGATAACCAAAATCTTTCGAAATTTATAATATAATAAAATTAAAATGTACAATATCTCTCATTATAATAAACTTATTGAATTCATATGACAATCATTGAATAAAATCGATAGAATCATGATTTGATAAAATTAAAAATTTAAATTTAATTGATTATTTATATATATTATTTGATAATTAATATTTATCTATTAATAATTTTTTATTTGTATGAATAAAACTTATTATAGGTATTCATATTCGAAAACTATACAACAATAAATAGCATGATTTCAAGAAATATATTTTATGCAGAAATATATTTTAAAGCTTTCACAATTGTTATACGTTTTGCACTCTTGTATGATAAGTTATTAGTCAGTGATGAAATGTTTATGAATATATATCTGTCTTTGTTATGAAAACAATAATGTACGAGATTAAATTTAAAATAGTAATGTGTTTAAATATCGATATAAAGTATTTATGTTTCTTTAAGACATTTATTTCAAATAAGTACACAATCTGGAAACACAAAATGGAAAAAAAGATATTTTTTTTTATATACAGATGTTGTTTCAAAATAAAAATATGATTCTGAAAGTTTAAATTTTTTAATTCTTCATTATTCATAATTTTTTCTTCTAATATTTCTTTTCAATTACAAAAAGATATGAATTGCCTTAGTTACATAGATCATTATAATAATATCAATTTTAAGCATATATTTTATAAAATTAAATTTTTCTTTGTTTGTATAAGCTTATATTCATACTATTATCATTACTCCCCATTCTATGATTAACTCATATGATTTTATTAACCCTCACACAATAATGTGACTATTGTATTAAATATATTGTTGAATCTTTTAATTTTAAATACTATATTGTTTAATAAATATATATACATTTATTTAAATATATATAATATATACAATAATATGAGAATTTTATGATATGATTCATCCATTCACACTTCCACAATCGCGATATCGTTCAACTGTGCGTCGTGGAAAAACCTAACCTAATAATCTAAATATTAGATATTAGATTATCAGATAATATTTTTTTTTCTTTATTTCTAAAAAAAATGTAATAAATATTTTTACTTTGAAATTAACTGTGTATATACAGAGTGTCCCAAAAATATTTGAATATTTACATCTGTAAACTGAAAATTCCTTCAATAATTTCAAGCTACATTTTTAATTGCAAGAAGAAAATTTTTATTATTTTATTATTTATTTATTAACGATTTATTAACAAAAAACACTGGTCAATCACAAAACGCGTAGGCTAGTTGAGCTGCGACAGCATTGATTATTGAATATGAACAAGCAAGTATCTTGAAGAAAGTGTTGAATATTATATTTATTTATTCATTATTCGTGATATAATTCGATATAATTTTTTTTTCGATAAAAAAATATTTCAATAAACAATTAGCGAATTTGGCCATGAAATTATTTCGAAATAATATTATTCATTTATCAAATCGTTTATTAAAATACATCGAATTTTAACTTGATACTATAAGTATTCTTGAAATATTTAATAGGTTTGTTATTAAATATTTGTCGATAACATTTAATATCATTTAATATGTTTCCTTTCTAAATATGATATTTGAAAATATGTTGTACATATTTCATTTTTTCACATTATCTACAAATATATTGGACTTATGTGCATACATATGTAAATACTGCGAAATGTTTATTTCCGTTATCTATTAGTTTATCTATTTTTGTTATTAATTTCTTTATCTTATAATTTTGCAGAAATATCTTACTGCAAAAATTAAAGATGTAAAAATATATGAACATATTGTGATATATGTATATTATTTTTTGATTAAAATTTAGAAGTTATATTGAATACAATATATATTGTATATATCTGAATAATTTTGGATTAATCTCTCGAATTCTTTATGATTTGCAACATAAAAGTAGAAATCAGAATAAAAGATTCTAGATTCGTTCATTTCTAAAATAAGAATAATATTTTTATAACATTTCTTTACGGTTGAAAAATTCCTTATTTTATTGATGTGGAGAATTTTTAAATTACGTGAAAGATTAAAATACGAAAAGATTAAAATGATTAAAAATTATATTATATAATATAATATATATATTTATAATATATCGATCATATAATCAAAAAATATAGCAAAAATTACAAGTATAATATTTTTTTTAGATATTTCTAAATATTTATAATTATAATTTATCGATATGATAATAATATCAACAAAGAGGTTATTAAAATAGCTATTGCTTTTGACATAACATATCAAAATGGAAATTCTAATGGCAAAATAAAAATAGAAAAATATTAAGAGAAAAATAATTCTAAAAATTAAGATAATATTAATCTGAATGAAATTATGAAAATATCTTATATGCACATGTAATACGTATACTGTTATATATATATATATATTTATATATACTGTTTTACATATTTATAACTATAATTATTATATTATTATATGTACTACGATTCTGTATGTATTATACGATTATTATATTTATATAA